TTGCTGTGAGTCACAACTGACTCAATGACACTTAACAACAACAACACAACTCTGGTTGTCAGTGTTTCCAGCAGCAATTCCTTACCCTCTGTTAGACTAGTCAGCCAGGGAAACATTCAGATGAAAATACTCATGCCCAGGCCATATCCCACACATTCTGATTTAATTGGTTTGGGGTGGCACCTGTGCATAGATGTGTAATTAAAACTTCCCAGGTGACTTTAATGGTCATCAGGATGGAGACCCTCCAATATCTTTGCACCTTGGAAGGTGTGGCGACAGCTTCTTGTTTCCCTCTTTATTGCCTTTTCTCTTTACAGACTTACAAGTCAAACAGCCCTTCTAGATTATGCAGAACCTCTCCTCCACAAACTCCTCCTGTACTCCAGCCAGTAATTACAGCCTGACCCACAGTTCCAGTGGGTAACACGCACCTCATTGGACCCTCTGTTAGAGCAGGAGGATGTCTCAATTAGAGAATATCTCAATGACCAACCTCCCAAACGAGGTCTCCATTGTGTGTTCAGATCATAGAGGACCATGAAGGGATAGCCATGGATAGGAAGTTAGATGGTGACCTTTAATGTTGCCCTTAAATGTTAAGGCTGCATGATTTTAGAGAGTTTGTTGGCCATTGTCCTCAAGCCTGATTCTTAGTGATGAAATTTCCAGTTGATCAGTGATTTGTAATTGATAAAGCAATAGGTGGACAATAGATCTTTACATATTCTATATTGGAGAGCAGTCAGTATTGCAACACTGTTGCAATACCTGCTTTCTTATGCAATAATTTTATCTACCTGTGTTTTTTTTCTTTACTTTAACTTACAGACCCAAATATTTCAAAACTTGAGTCAGATGTTGGCTGCTGTATTATTTCTTCCTTGAAATTTCCCCTTCTCAAAATGTTCATACTCTTTCCCCACAAACTTCCACTATACATTATTCCCTGAAATGCATTATTTTTACTTTTTGATGGCCATTTATCTACAGAGACTATCTCCCTTACTTCATTATACATGAAGACAAAATGAGAGTTTGGTTAACTTTTTCTATAGTACTACTTATCATAACACTTCACTTTGCACATAGTTGTTGTTATTAAGTGCCATTGAATTGGTACTGATTCATAGCAAGCCTGTATAGGGTTTCCAAGGAGCAGCTAGTGAGCTTGAACCGCCAACCTTGAGGTTCAAACTGGCCTTGCAGGCCAACGCATTAACCCGCAGTGCTACACCAGGACTCCTTGCACATAGTAGTTACTCAGTATATCTTAGATGAATAAGCAGATAGTTAAATGTTTGTAGGACTTCAGAGAAAATAGGTAGCAGTGTGTGAGTTGGAATTTTCACGGAAGATTTTCTGGACATGTTGGAATTTGGGTTAGATTTTCATGGGTTAACATCATTTAGGGGATAGGCACTGGACTGTTAACCACAAAGCTGGTGGTTCAAACCCACCAGCTGCTCCTCAGAAACCCTGTACAGGGTCACAATGAGTCTGAACCAATTCACCAGCACTTAACAACAACAACAGGGTAACAGTAAAGACAAGCTCAGGATACTAAGTTGCTGTAGGAACAAATTATTTTCTTTGTTTTGATGGTGACAAGAAGTTAATGAAGCAATCCACATACTTAGAGTCTTTTTTTTTTTTTTTTCATGTAAACTGACCAAAAGAATAATGTCTTTAGGAGGAATATACCTTACAGACAAGTAAGTCATAATCAGGGACAGAAGAGCAATGAAATATTGTTACCAAACCTTAAGGTGACTAGATATGCAGATAGCTTAAAGTCTGGAATTCTGGGATGAACTGTTATCATCTAGAGACATCCACATGCCCTTTGTAGTGCAGCCTCTCCTATATTACTTCTCTCAGGGGTTGAAAATGAGTTCCTGACTCTACTTACTAGGCAGTGGTAATTCCTGCTCTGAAATTCCAGCCAATCCCTCTATGGTCCTGATGTTGAAGTGCTTCAACAGGGTTCAATGACTCTCACCTGAAGGTTCTAGGTTGATGTACTGAGTCTTGCATATAAACTGGATTCAGTGCATCCCTCATACTTACCTCTAAGAGTAACAGAACAAGGCCTTCATTCAAGAGGGAGGCACTTTGGCAAAGGAGACCAGAAAAGGACTCAGGACCTTTTGGAGATCTCGTTGTAGTCCCATAAATAGCTTTTCTCTTCAGACAGCATCAGTTGCGCCATGCATAAAGTCAGGTTTAAATCAATGGCAATGGAAGCTCCTTCTCTGATTTATTAGAGTAGAAGGACCATGAGGATACTCACCCTGAAAAGGGCATAGAAGCCAGTAATATTTCTTCAGGAGAGAAAGTGAGGAGAAATATAGACCCAGTTATCCATTCATAATGCAAGTAAGGGACTATATATACACAAGAAAATATGCTGCTATTTTCTCTGTCATAGGGCTATCCCCTGGGAGCATCAGAAATTAGCCTCCCAGGAAATAGAAGGATAGGGAGTGAGGAAAAGCAAAGTAAATAACTCAGACCCTTCCTTTAATACTGCAATGATGTCTCATACTTTCGGGCACTTTAGACTCTGTAAAAGGCTGGCTGTTATGGGTGGATAGTTGGGGCAGGTGATGTAAGTTCCAATTAATGATGAGTTCTCTGAGGCCTAGAGGACTTGTCCATATCCCCAAAGTCACCCAGGAAGCTAGAGGTGTATTTGAGACTTGGAATGATTCACCTAGGGGAGGCATTTTCTTTGCCAGATGTCACCCCAAGCAGGGACTTTGAGCAGAGATAAGTCAATTTCCAGGCCTCCCTTATCCCTGGGGATGAGGATGAGCCTCCACTAAGGAAGCACAAAGGAGGAGCATTCAAACTTAGTTTCATAATAATCCTCAGGAATATGGTACTTTCTCCCTTAGGGTCTTGTTAGAGTGGACAACTGGGAATATTTCTTAGGGATCTCATAATGATTCTAGAAGTGGTGGTAGAAGGACTCACGGAAAGCTGCCTGTCAATGTAATTTTCTATACCAGGCCCTTAGAAATTGAGAGTTGGGGTGAAGTCCTAGAATAATAAACAGAGAATGCAGGAAGGTTGAGGAGTCTGTTCCTCTGATTTCTATTCCTACCAACAATTGTTTACCCAACACCTCTCCTCCAGAGACAGAGCTCTTCTCTAACCAGAGAAACCTGGTGCATTGCTGTTGAGTCAGCTCCAAATCATATGGTTTCAGAGGAGTGACTGGTGAGTTCAAACTGCTAACCTTGTAGTTCAAACCAACCTTGCAGTCCTTAGCTTATCCTATAGCGCCACATCAGGACTCACAGTAGACTGCTGATGAGAGTGTAAACTAGTAGATACAATCAAAAGAGTCATCTATCAATATTGATGAAATTTAAATATAAATATGAAGATAGACGGAAGTTGGTGTTAGGTGCCATCGAATCGGTTCTGATTCATAGAGACCCTTTGCACAACACAATGAAACACTGCCTGATCTTGCACCATTCTCACAATTGTTCTGTTTGAGTTCTTTGCTGCTGCCACTGTGTCAATTCATCTTGTTGGGAGTCTTCCTCTTTTTTTTGGATCCTCCACTGTATTTCCCATAAAATAAGTGGGATTTTTGCATCCTAGTGAAGAGAAGAAGCTATTTTCTCATGAGTGAAAGGTGAACGTAGAGCAAATTAAACCCTGATAGTGCCATCTGATCTGGAGGAAAAAACATGTTCTCACTGTAAAGAAACTTTGCATGGTGTTCAAGGGGACTTAGGCTATGATTAATCAAACTGGCTTTCTTTCGAGGACCTTGCTTCCCCGGGCATATAAGGCTTCATTTTCTAAGCAGAAAGTGAGCACAGAAAAAACATGGTAGCAACATTTGTTGTTGTTGTGACGTGACCTCGAGTTATTACGACTCATAGTGACTCTCTACAGGGTTTCTGAGGAGTGACCGGTAGGTTTGAACCACCAAACTTATCAATACACCAGCAAGATTTAGTAGAACCTAAACTAAATACTCCCCTATCTCTTTTGTGTTTTTTTTTTCTTATTGCTACTTGAAATACCATCTATGGTGCTACTTACTTTGTTATTTTGATTCCCTGTATTAGAATAGGATCTAAATGAAGGCAAAGACTTTTGTGTATTTTGGTTACCCTATAGGCAGTGCCTAAGGAGCTCTGATAGCGTAGTGGTTACGAATCGGACTGCGAACCTTAAGGTCAGCGGTTCGAAACTACCAGCTGCTCCGCGGGAGACAGATGAGGCTTTCTACTCCCGTGAAGATTTACACCCTCTGAAACCCTGTACAGGGTCGCTATGGGTCGGAACCGACTCGACAGCGCTTAACAACAACAACAACATAGGCAGTGCCTGGAAACCTGGTGTGGCACTATAGGATAAACACTGGACTGCTAACTACAAGGTCAGAGATTCAAACCCACCAAGTGGTCCTTGGAAACTCTATACAGTTTTGCGATGAATCAGAACCAACTCAATTACACTTAACAACAACATAGCCAGTGCTCTAAAAGGTAGCTGATGGAGACAGAGATGATGACATGGAGAGATGAAGCGGCTGGGGACTTTGGATCCAGAGAGGGAGAGGAACTGTGGGCTGAACACTGAGTGGGGAGAGGGGAGAGCGGAGTGTAGAGAACGGGCTTCTAGGATATGCCCTTGGGTTGGAAGACGATGCATGGAGGGGATTGGAACCATGGCAATGTAATGATATACGATGGAATGAATATGGAACTGAGGTTCTCTCATGTAAACTATCATATAATTCACAATAAAACATTAAAATAAATAAATAAAATAAAATAAAAATAAAAGGTATCTGAGTCAAAGCAGAAATTCAATAAATATTTGTTGAATGGATATACTAGGTAGAGTTTCCTTGTAGGACAAGCATCTAACACAAACCTTCAGGAACCTGAAGATGGTGGAAAAATTACCTATGGAAATTTATTTATTTGTTTTTCTAGTCCAAAAGTAAAAACAGGAAAGGAGATTGCTCAGGTCAGAGATCGCTTCCCCATGAGTACTCGCCACAAAGCACCCTTAACATCAGGGTTTCTGAGACTGTAGATGAGCGGATTCAGCATGGGGTTGATGACAGTGTTGAAAACTCCAACACCTTTATCCTGGTCTGAAGCCTCCTCTGAACCCAGACGCATATAGTTGAAGATACCTGTCCCATAGAAGAGGCAAACTACAGTGAGGTGGGAGCCACATGTGGAGAAAGCCTTCTTCCTGCCTTCCACTGAACGAATTCGTAGAACTGCAGCTGCCACGTGGATGTACGAGATGATGATGAGAACCACAGGGGAACCTGCCATTATGAACCCCACACCAAAGAGTAACAGCTCATTGAGTTGGGTGCTAGAACAGGAGAGTTGGAAGAGCTGTGGTAGGTCACAGTAGAAATGATTGACCTCATTGGGACCACAGAAGTTGAGAGTAGAGAGGGCAATAGTGTGGGTCAGTGCATTG